GTCTGTAAAGGAGGTAGGAGATCATTCTGGATACATTTACGGAATTTTGACCCCAGAACCCCCAGTTTGGCCCTACTCCTCAGTTCTTTTACTTCATATATTATGGTTCAGAGCCTTATAGCTCTGCCTTCTCTTAGAAGTAAACAAATTAGTTATATTTATAATTTTTATAAAAATTATTTATTATTACAACTTATCACTGTTTTAAATACTATATAGTATGTAACAATCAACAAAACAATAAATAACTTTGTGCAGAGTAAAAATGATAAAACTTTTGAAAATAAATTTTTAAAAAAGCCTTTAAAACTTAATAGACTAATACAAATTCATAAGCTATTTTTTAACCATAAAAAATTACATATCAATATCACTGTCTTATGCAATCTAATAATTATATAGTTGAAATTTTCAATATTGTTCTTTGTATGTATGAAAAATAATGCAAGTAACACATCTCTGCAATCACAATTTAAAATATAAGGTCCTTATTTTTAATTTTTTGAAATAAAATATGCGTTAATATTACATATCAATAAAATTTTTATTTTCATAAGATTACATGATTTAGCAGTCTTATGGGACCGTAAAATCATGATTTCTGACACTAACCTCTGAAGCAAAGATTCATCGAATATAGGAGTTTTGTGACTGGCTCCAGTGTCATCCAAAAGATCTTTTAAGAACTGGTCATATTTTTCATTTTCACATATCATTAGATATCTGGCCGTAATTCCAGATTCTATGAGAATTGATGCTGGACAATGCATTATATTGAGTAGCTCTATAAGCCTCCATGTCTCTCTCCAATATTTTCTCTCCTGTCTATCATTAATATTTAAAATCGATTTGATCTTTTCTACAACAAAACGATGCAGGGTTTTCTGAGTTGGAAGCCTTGTCATCTTTTGTTCATATCCATTTGATAGCGTTACAAGTAGTGTTAGATATGCGCCCCTAAGTTCATATAACATTTCTAACATTTTCTCTTTTACTGAGTTTTTGTTGAATTAAGTATATTATACTGCAAAGACCATTGTTTAAAATAGTTCTCCAATGATTCGATATTATTTATCGAGTAAGAAAGTAATAAAGTAGAAAAATTAATTACTTTGTTATAATTAAAAATATTATTAAAATTTGTGGTTAAGAGAACTTCAATTGAATTTGTGGTTAAGAGATCTTCAATTGAATTTTTTGAAAAAAGCCTATCTTTATACACTATTAATTGACTATTTTGAAAGTTTTTAAAGTTATTTTTTAAGAGAAGGGCCCTATTCTTTTTAATTTTATTTATGGTGGCTAGAATTTTTCTGGAATTAGTAATATTAGTTTAAACCTGAGTAAATTCTTTTAAACTTACCAATTAATTTCTCCGAATCATACACTTCTTCATCCACTAATTATGATATAAGTATATAAATATATAATTTTGAATGTGTAGGTTTGAGAATATGAAACATATATAAACTCATACTATCAGAATCAGCTTCAGGTATTTTTTTTTCCACCCTTTTTTTACTTGATAAATTTGGGCTATTATTTTTTTTACCTGCTACCTTGAATCCAATACATCAAAGATTAATTCATCAATTTCACACGATGTTGATTCATGCTTTAATCATACAGTAATAGAAGATATATCAATCTGCAATTTTGAATATGCAGGTTTGAAAAATATATCTACTAACATACCATCAAGATCAGCTTCAGTCAGAGAATATTGCATTCTTTGTTTTTCTCTTCTTGTTATATGATACATCCGAAACGTATTTTCTTTTTTTTGATTTCTTTTTAAAAAAAATTTATAAGCAAAAAATTGTCTGTGTTAAAAAATTTAACTAAAATTTCTTACCAGATTATTATCGCTCAAAAATTCAGTATTAGCGATAGTGGTAGGAAATGAATCGCTAGTTTGTTTCATAATATTTGTACTTGAACTATTCTTTTGTTTGAAATTTTATTATTAAATTATATTAATATCATAGCATTTAATAGTATCACCAAACAATAATTTGCAGTGGTAAAAAAAATTTTATACTGTATCAACACTTTCAATTAGAACATTGGATATTGTCAAATATCATTTTCTGTTTTGTATGTATGCTTTAAATAATAAAAATAGTTAAACATCTTACTTACCAAATTTACTATTGATCATTAGTAAAACTAACACATTTATAATATTTACCAATATTTCATTAACGCTAGGTAAGGAATCTTCTATCAAATTTGAAGGAACTCTTTCTATGAAGTTGTTAACAGGTTCATCGTTGGCCTTTAGAAATACAAAATGGTTTAGAAATATTAAAATTGGCATGAAGGTTGTAAAATATATATTGAGTTTATCATAATCATGTTATATTTATTCACCTTATTGACTTTTTCAATTTTAGAATTATTTTTTTCAATTTTATTTTTGAAGCTTTAAATTGGTTATTTATTTGGAATTTGTACTTATCATCAGAGTTACTTTTCATTATCTCATTAAATTTTTGTTCATCTGCTTCTTCTGTCGAGTCATAATACTCATCAGATTATGAATTATCGTATTCCTTTTAATGTTAATTATTAAGTTATTTTTATTGTAGTTATTAAAAAATGAACATGGGATTGATTCTTTAGCGATAATTAAAATATTTAAAGAATAATTAGTCAAAAAAATAAAACTTGTCATCAGACAGAAATAACCAAAATCATTATACTCACCATCAATCTTAATTTTATATTTCAATTTTTCGAGTTTTAATATCATTTAATTTTTCAATTAGTAATTCCTCTACATGTAATTTTACCTGAATACTAGAGTTCAAATCTTGTGTTTCATTTTCTTGATTCTTCTCGATAGCATTAAATGATTGGTTCTAAAAATTTTCATTAAATGTTATCTATATTAAATTAACAGACAAATTTTAAATACTTACATCACTTTCTTCATAGTTTAAGGGTTCGGCTACAGAGTCCAAATCTTGAATTTCATTTCCTTGATCCTTCCCAATAGCATTATTCTAAAAATTTTTATTTTAGGTACTAAATGATAGCTATATTAAATTGCTAAATAAATTTTTAATACTTACATCACTTTCTTTGTAGTTTAAAGTTTGGTCTACAGAAACAGAAGCTTCTGAATCATCTAAAGAACTTGATTTTTATTTGTACAGTCTTTCTCTATTTCAAAACTAGAACTTTGAGTTGCACTTTCTTGAAGCCTTATTTCTACTTCGTTAATTATAATAGGTTCTTTTCTGTTAGATCCATCAACCACATTTACTATCTTCCTAAAAATTTCTTCATTTATAAGAACCACTTCTGGCACATTCAAATTTAAAATAGGTTTGTTGCTATTATTTAAGGTTATTGTTGCTGAGTTTAATGGGTCATCGAAAGTAATAGTAACAACTTTGCCTTCAGTTGCTTTCCAAATATGCTTAACAGAGTTTTTAATTATTTCTTCTTTATTTTTAACAGTCTGGATCATTATTCTTTTAGTTAAGGACGTGAGATTTTTTAAAAAGGTGAAATCAAGCAGTGAGAATATATATAATTAGATAACGATTCATAAATTTACATATATGGCCATTTTTTGAAAATATAATGATGACTCAGTGATTCATAATGATACCAATTCAATTGTTATTTATATCTTTATTAAAATTTGATTAGACTATGATAATTTTTGACTATTTCATTATTTCTACTTCATGATAGTATAATTTTGAGATAAGAAAAAAGAAATTTAAGATAATTAAAAAAATTTGATATATTACCTGATTTGAAAAAGGACGAAGGAAAAGAAAAGGAACGAAGAAAAAAAAAGGAACTAAGAAAAAAAAAAGGAACAAAGGAAAAGAAAAGGAACAAAGGAAAAGAAAAGGAACAAAGGAAAAGAAAGGAACAAAGGAAAAAAA